TGGATATATTCACGGAGTTGTTCAGTTGTAGCAGAATCATGGAATGAGCACTCATAATGATACATGAAGAAGGTAAAACAGTGGATATGTTTATGAATCTTCATCGACTGAGACGTCTGGAATATGGGTTCATATTTCCATACATTGATGTTTTAATTAAAAAGTGTTGCAAGTTTGATCGTTAATTTATGTCAGTTAGAGAACTATTGGAAACCAGGGAGTACTGCGCAGCTGGCTCGTTCTAGTTTGGGTTCCTTCAAGAATACACACCCACCGGAGTTCTTATCCAGAACTGCCTAGTTAAGAGGCGAGCTGTAAGGCCTTTGATCAACTGGAAACCGACCCAATGGCCCAAGTATTCTAACTCATCACGACCAGGAAGGACCTTCGTATCATGGGTTCAAATTCCAGTGAGTGCTACTACTAAGAAGCTCCATACTAGGTCGAAAAAGCTGTCTCAATAGTTCCCTGACTGAAATCAGTCCGTGATCAAACTTGAGGCAAATTAAATTCCTAAAAACTAACTCTTGCAAAAAGTGCTAATTGACCAGCAAGAAAAATTTATTTTGCAGATGATTAAGAATCTGACATTTATTAACTAGAGCTCAGTGGCACACAATTAGTTTTCAACCTCCCATTATCACTCACTGTCGAAGGATACACTTCATAGTCATAGATGGAAGGCAATGCATGAAATGACCAACGGATGGTAACTCGTGTACTATACTGGCCCAGCACTTGTCCATTATTCAATCAACCAAATTTTATGCTCCTTGACAATTGACACCCATCGCACAACACCAGATTATTGTGTATTGCAGCATCGTGTCATCTAGTCTGATTTTCGTTTTTATTCCGTTTTGTTTCGATTGAAACATAGATCTTAAAGATTCTTAATTTTCATTAGCGGTGATGTTGTCTTACGAGCTGTAATTAAAGGAAGCCAATCTTCAAAAGAGTACAAGTCCTCTAAGAACTTCAGATTTGCCATATTCGTAAGAAAACCTCTTGAACATTATCTAACACAGTGTAATATAGATTAAAGAGCGACTCTGTAAAGCTTCTCTTCAATAAGTATTTAGATATATCATGAATGTCGGTAAACCACAATGAGTCTCATTTGGGACTGAGCTATTACTTACTGAAGATGCAGGCATATATAGGTTACAAGTCCCAAATAAGACGAAATTCGCATTCTGGATTCCACTGCTGGCACCCATCAGCCAAACAATAATGAAGCTTCTATAGACCGAAATTTGGGTATAGGGTTGCATTTTTATTTCTTGCACCACCATAACCTATTTGTACCATGATAGTTGTTATCTGAAATGAATTAAAATCTGCCACTTCATTTAAAAAATATCTTTATAAAGAACGCGTCTCCAGAAAAGAGGTTTGTAAACAGTACTACAGACATGAGACCGATGAACTAGTATTTCGTGATACACGCTCTTAACTTTTTCTGAATCACAACATCATGAGATATGATATTTATGACTATGACGAGACTTAGAGGACATGATCTGTTGAATGAGTCAGAATTAGTAGTTTGGCAAGAAGATCGAACACTTCTCTTCTTTGTTCTATGTGTAATTTTGAGCAGTAGTTTATGATTAGTTATGGTAGTTTATACAGGTTATATCCACTTGATTTTGATTAACAGCGACAGCTACTTTAGAGTCATTCCCTTCGCTAAAGATTCCTTAGAGATTGGATGACCATGTGGCAAGTGAGAATCTCATAGCATTGTCTATTATTTGAAAGTATATTCATCGAATCAGGTTTATCAATGTACCACATGTATTGTTGGCAGATTAAAGTAATGCAGACACATGTAAATCTGTGACACCTTTTAGATAAGTAAAAGGGACCGGAGGTATAGCATACTTTTAGACTCACACTTATCAAATCGGCACTCGGAAGCACTGCTCATAGAGAGTAATCTGCCTGTTCTCACTATTAGTATCCGAAATCAAAACAAATACTGTCTAGATTCTCAGCACCTGGATGATATATCGTGGTGCCTTACTTTTAAAACCAAAAATGTTTTGGACTATAAACTGTAACTTTCTGGCTACTTTGAATGATGGCATTTATACTGAGCGAAATAACTGAGCAATATATATTCCAGTGACTTGTAACAGTATCACTTAAAAACTACCCATACTAATCAACGGTCCTCAGTGGATCCACTGGTGCATACGTCCGGATTGTCATTTTGTTTATTACGTTTCCTTACCCACTTTCACAGAGACGAATAATTCTACACTTACAAAGTTAGTCAGAAGACAAAATATTTAATTTTTATGATATTTCATCAGGAAGTGAGTAGAAAGGAACTTATTTCAAATCTGTATACTTAGTTTATTCTATGCATTTATTGCTGTTAGAATTTGTCGCCACTTACTATCCGTCGCCTTATAGTATTTAAAAAAGCTATAAGAGATTTTAAAAAGGTTGACCAAGAGTAATTCTTATCCTTAACACACAAAAACACTTCCACATATTTAAGTACATACGGATGCAGCTACTCAAACCATTACAAAGCAGATAACACCAAAGTTGAGGACGACAGGATAAATGTGTTGAAATGACCACAAACACTCACATTCCGGGAACGAATATTAGATGCATACATATCCAATTTTATACCAACTAACTTCCTCTTTCTAGTGATTTTCATACAACCACCACTCTTGATATATTTAAACAACGCAATAATGAGAGCATTTGTAGGACAAAAGGAGCTTATTTAATTTTATCACTCATTTCAGTTGTTAACATCTTTAAATCACAAGATTATTAGGAATGAAATGTTAATAAATGATACCGCTTGTTTCCGTGATTGCCACTTATGGTATCACGTAGGTCACATACTGTGGTCTGAAAATTTTTGGTTCTTCAGAGAAATGATGGTGATTTTTTTACCTCAGAGTGTGAAATTTGCAAATGGTGAATTTAATTCTATGTTATTACTAGTTCATTCAAATTCCTAGTCAGAATTAGGACTGTTGCAAATGATCCAGTTCTCTAATCTCCGAGAAACGGTCGTCTGCTGGTTGGATCATGTCAGTCCAGCCAGCAAGTAATCCTATTTGACAAGAGGGATTCCCAAACTCTCATATCATTTGGTAGTATATAACATCTTATATTATTTATTCTCTCTGTTGTCACTTATGACATCAAATAGATCACAGAATTACTATTTAGACTTATTAATTGACTGGTAACACGCATCACTGCAAAGCTGAAGGTTCTGGATTTAAAATCATGTGGGTCATTGACAAGTTCTTAACTAGAATGCAGTAGTTGTTGATTACCCTCTAGTTGTTCTTTATTGATAACCTGTCAAACTGTGTACCGAACTAAAGTACTAACGCTTTCGATAATACGCAATTTATTATCGAAAATTTACAGTTCTAATCACACATTCTTAAAAATATTCTTTTTGTTGCTAAGACAGTTTATGATATATGTGCGATTGTACAGCTTGAGAATATCGGCGAAAAGAATAACTCTTCGCTGACCACCCTTTCCTTTATATAATTTTATAGAATTACAGATTGATACTATAGCACTGATAATCACATGTAATAACCTTTTCATAAGCAGACGTCAAAATTAAACTCTACTCTACTGATAAGTGTCAGCAACTATGAAAAGATGTAAATGTTTAATGATTGCTGAGAATGTTCTCGACAGCAAATGCAATACACTGTTAAAGTGAATCACGTAGCTGGACAGTTAAACAGTATTCGAGCTCAATAAGACTTATCTACTAAACGTTAACCTGACAGTGTTCACATCGGATCTATCAGAGATATTCAAGCCCTCAACCTTTAATCTTTCTTTAATGATAAACATCTTAAACTTATTATTCATGTTTTCAGCTAACACAGTTGCCATATTTGTGAAATTCTTCAGGTATGATATACTTTATTCAGTACATGCTAGGATAAACGACTGCATTAATGTTCAGTTAGTGCATAAGACTGAAGTGACTTTTATTCACTTATCGGTAAATCATTCGTTTTCATCACTTGAATATGAAGAACATAAGAACTTACATTAACTGTGTGTCAACTGTAGAGCAAGGAAAATACCAAATGACTTATGTATAAACCTAGAGTTAACATTATTAAATTAAAGTTTTGACTGTAACCTAGTAATCATTCTGAGGTAACACTCGGAAAAAAGCTTCTAGAAACTGATAAATACTGGAAATCTACTTTTTTTGTTTGTTTGACTACAATCTCCAAAAGTTACGTGTCGATGTGTTGGAGTGACTATGCAGAGTTTACTGATAACAGTGGATGATGATGGTTAACTTGGTTAGGGTGGATTATCCAAAACCCTCCCAAATGATTACTTACTAACTTGGTTCAGCTGCAACTGGTAAGTCATTCACTCCGCCTCCCGCCTCTCCACTCCACACAGACAACACTCAATTTAAATAAAAATCTAACTTGTTTTTCTTTTATGCGCTATTATTATTATTATCATAGTTATCGTAAAATTTTGGCACATAACATTTATCAAAATATTCTTTATATACATAGGAATAAATTTATACACGCACACACATAAACAAACACACAAACACTAGCAATCATAAACATTCATCTCAGAATTGGTCAGTTAGTTTTTCTCTATCGACGTGAAAAACAAAATACAGTAGTCACCTGGAGAGTGAATAAGTAAACAAATATCTGTTCTCACTTTTGTTGATCATCTGAATTTTCGAAAAACAATATCAGTAGTAGTATTAATAGTAGTAGTAGTTTATGCATGAAAAATAAGCGAAATAAGTGAAGCATACTGTAAACCACTGGAAAGTAGATTGAATATAAGATTTTAAGGGAAAAATAAACAGACACAGAATGAAATCCTATTCCAAAGAGAACAGCACATTTGCTCACAATATTGGAACAACTTGATCATAACTTGGAGGCGGTGCACTAGGTTCAACAACCTCTGCCTGATTATCATAATTTTTAATACTATTCCTTGATGAATTAATATCACAGTAAGAAAGAGTACTGTAATCATGAGGATGACAATAAAGTGAGCGTGGAGGTTGATCGAGACGGCGACGACCATTATGATCTGGATAGTCACGGCAGCAACATGTATATTCGTGATCAACATCACCAATGGTATATAAACAGCATTTTACCAATTCTTGATGTGAATCCAATGCGTTGACAATATGCTCCTTCTCATCGTTACAAAAGTATTTAGAATGTTGATTTAAATATAAATCAATAATTCTAGATACATTTTGCATACACTTAGAAACATCATAATCATTTAACTTTCCTTCATTACTAAAAGACTGACCAATTTCATCTAAAATACACTTGATATGTTCTTTAATAATACTACTGAAATAATAGTTATTAGTTGTATCTAGAATACAGTTTCTTTTGAAATTATTATTACTACTACTAGTAAGAGCAGTAGCAGTAGTATCTGCTATTCCAGTAGTATCGTAAATAGGCATCTTCCATGAATACTCACAACATCTTGACTGTAGTGAATTCTTAATCGGCCTACATACTGATAACGAGGTTGATGATGACGGGGATGATGATAATAACAAGAAACGATCAGGATTATGTTCAGTAGACTCAAATTCTTTAAAAATTTTTACTGATTGATGAAAAGAGTTCGATGTGCTGAATGTATCATTTGTATTGGATAGCGTTAGTTGTTTTATACAGCCTGGTATATTATCTGCGTTGTAAGTGTTAAATGATGCATGACAATGTGGAATTAAATGGAGTGTCTTTTGTAATCCATCAATATTTGTAACATTAACTGAACACAATGTTTGACTGTCAACATTATTGATAATATTTTTGTCATTATTAGTACCATTATTATTACTATTATTATTAATAGTATCATTTATTTTATATTTCTCACCAAAATCACTCTTATCATAGGATTGATATTTTGAACGTAGAACACTATTAATCATTTGTATACGTATTGATTTTTTCACTAATAAAATGATGACCAGTAATATAAAAATAATTATACCAAAAGCTGATATAAAACCAATTGAAAACGCAACTAACCACGATTGTAACCATTTATGATATAAATGTTTAATTAAATTTATCCATCGATTTTTCATATGTAATGCATAATTATCCCAGGCTGATTCACTCCAATCGTCTAACCACAGTGGTAATTTTAAACCATAAACTAATGGATTTTTATCATTATTACCAATATTTAATGTGCTTACATGTTTACTGTGTATAACAGTTTCACGAAAAACTGAATCAGGTGAATAAGTCTCATTCAGTTTATAAGTTATCCACCAGAATGGTGCTAACCACGTCCACCAATTGAGTTCATTGATTTCTTGAGATGTTTTATACTCCTTTGTTATTAGCCGGTGTTGATCATTACGTTTTTCAAGTAATTCCCATGATGCATGTAAATATTCTAATTGACTTAAAGACTGAGAGAAATCATTTCCGTAGAGCTGGTTAGGTAAAACAATTTTCACTTTTTCACTTTCTTTTAGGACACTTAACCACATCAGCTTAGACCATATTTCTGACAGTGTAAATTTCTGTACATATTTATTCGATGGAATAAAGGAAAGATGCTCTGGTTGTGTCAAGTCAACATTACACCGAGTCCATAACTTATCTCTATCATAATTGTCTGTAGTTGCACACCAATAACCGATCCATGTTGGATATATTGATAATCGTTGTGAAGATCCTGACTCACCGATTCCAGGCAGACAACGAGTATAATTTTGTTTTCTCACAGGAATATTCGCGCTTTGACCCTCATCTCTGTGTAAGGAAATAGTAGCTTGAAACGGAAAGTGACACGGAAACCCGGGATCATTTCCACCTTCTGTTTTTATATTGTAAAGATTCTGTACAGTTTTAGGACATTGACGTATTTGATTTAATTCAGTATGACATATCCAGTGTCCAGCAAATGGTTGACATTCATGTTGACTATGCTGTACAAGACCACCGACATTGTTCAGCATACTTGAAAAATAACATGGTAACTGATAGGCTAACTGTGGTCGACATTTTGTCCATTTACCGTCAAAATCAAAGTCTGGTGTTGTAGAACACCACCAATAACCACTCTCGCCATTGTCTGTTGGGACAGGATCATTTGAATTCTCATAATGCAAACTGCCACCGGCTCGAATACATGTGGAATACAAGCGTTTGCGATAGACAAATGGGAAATGACATTGTTTTCCAGGATCATTACCACCATAAGTAGATGCTGTCTCTGGGCAACTTTGCCATTCAGGATAATGATCAAAATTGTCTGTTAATGGGCACCACCATTTGGATTCTATCTTCATCGTCAGTTGATTACCACCTTCCTCATTTGGTGGAGAAACCTGTATATGTTGACATTCATAAATAGCTTTACGTCTATGGACCGAAGGGAATATGCACTGATTTTTCGCATTATTGGAATGTTGAAAGACTGATGCTTTTTGTTCCCAATATCCTTTTGAATATGCATTATCAACTATCATTGTAGTTATGATACATAAAATATTACACTTTAAAAATATTTCCATGTTAACATAAATGTCATGAAGATTATTGTACTTAAAAACTGAATTCTACGTCTTTCTTATGTGTGAAATTTATAACGAAATTGTTAAGAAATTTTAGGAAACAGCCAATCATACCGTGAACACGCGTGGGAGGAGGAAATTCAATGCATTTCTTATTGGACGACAGATTTACTGCTTTTGTATTAGGAGAAATGAATGACCATTACTTTTGTTTACATCACAAACTCAGTGCAGTGTAAATATTTATTTTTTGCACTATTATTATTATTGAACTAATAAGTGAATTTCACAGACATCATATCTACCTTTGTTACAAATAAATACTAGGTATATATATATATGCAGTATTCTGAGCCATGTGTAACTTAGTAAAATATAATAATAAACAAATATGCTGTTGTTTGGCGCAAATGATATCAGATAAGCAGTGAAATATTAAGCGACTATATAGTCTGATTTTTACTGTATTTTCTAACAGATTATTTAAATTTATGATACATAAAATGCTAACTGCAAATGGATTACCAATTCACAATAAATATATTTACTTAGTTATTATCAGTAAAAAATTTGAGCATTGTGGAATAAAACAATTCCAACAGTGGTGTGAACACGGGCAGTAATTTTGCTCGAAATATTACCAATAACAAAACTTATCATTGTGTAAACTATTGAAATATAATTATACTCTATTTGATAGTTACTTAGCTTTAAGTATAATCCTCTAAATTTATAGGAAAGGTATACAGTTGGGCTAATCGGCCAAACAACAAATTACCGCCACAAACTGCGATGAATTTCGCTTTTATTATAGACGTTACGAGGCAGATATCAAAAAGTTCTCTACCTAAGTTTTACTCTTGTTAAGGCTTATCATCAAAGCATATCTATGGTAAATGCAGATATGCGTCACTTTATCTAATGACCACGTTACATAGATTCAGTCACTGGGTTTTCATCTTAACCTAGGTTTAGAAACTCCCAATGGTTGAATTCGAAGACAGACGTGTGCACCGAAAAAACAGTCCAATATAGTGTTAGTTTTGATCTAATTGTAGAATGTTTGAATTCAGGAGTGAATCGTACACTTTCGAATCACATATGAAAAGCTAATTTTCCACAGGGTTGTAGATGCACTGCAGTGAATGCCAACAAGGTAGGAGTAACTATGCTGAACCAGGATTTCCTGCAGACCGACTACTCTTAAAAGCTAACACATGAAATCACTAGCCTGATGAGATGCATAATGCTGGAAGTTATATTTCCGTTTAAACAGTGGGATTAAACCTATATAGGAACTCTGAAATATCACTAAGAGACAGATAAAAACGAAAAAATAATAGCTTACATAAATGTAATTTTCTTTGGTGATAATATGGCACATCCGTTTTTGAAGTGGTGCCACCTTTATCCATTTGGGTATTATTATCATTGTTCCCTTGAGTTGCGAGTGGAACATAGAGCTTAAACAGTACATCTCCATTTTGTTATATTCTTCAAAGTTCTCTCTAGCTGGTCGCAGGACTATCTATAGTCTCTCATCTCTTCGTCACACGATCTCCTCCATGTCACTGTCAGATCAATCCCCATCTCGTCGTTTCCTATTCGGGTTCCACTCCAGCGATGACCTGGCATGCGATGTCATTCGATAGTCTCCCCAGTGTGTGTTTCACCCACCTTCACTTCCTTCTGCATATTTGTTGAGCAATGGGTTCAAGGTTATTTTTCCAAAGAGTTTCTTGTCGCCAATTCTTGCTGGCCATTCGATCTTCAATATGAAGCCAGAGAAGACAGCTGTTGATAAAAGTCTGCAGTTGGTTGTTGGAAATGCTTTCCGTGTTACACACGCAGTTTTTGACCTATATTGATGAACTGATTTAAAATTTGTGTAGAAAATCAGAATTTTATTCTTACGCTGAGTGCATAAAATTTCCAGACTGATTTTCGATTGATGAAAGTGTACCTAGCCGATCCATTCTGGCTTCGACATCTTCTGTTCAGCCTGTAGTTGGGTGTTAGGGTATTTCAATAAACAGGACAAAATATACTACCATAATTTCAAGGAAATTCAATAATATACTTTTATCTTTCGAAATTACTGCCTCCCTTAATCCATTACATTGCGCAAATATCAGTGTCAAGTAACATTTTCTCATAAAAGGGAACCAAATTTAACGCATTTCAAGAATATAATGCCACCGATAACATGTACTCCAGAAAAACCTTTTTTTTAGTGCGAAATTTCACCTTAAAAAAAACACAAAAAAAGAACTTGTCATTAACCCACTATAGCAACGGACTACGACGCTACAATTAGCGGGGATATACAATAAAGCAACTTATTTTCTTTGGGTCTGTATGTTAAGTATAAGACATTGGTCTCCATGGTTTTGCGTGAGATATACATTTAAACAATAAGTGGAAAATAATGAAGATGAATGAATATTTTTTATTCTTATTAATATTGGGTGGAATTTGTACATCATTATTTAAAGTGAACAGTCTTTACTTGTTTTCCTACTTTGAATATACGCATGTTGATTAACAAATCCCTTTACACATGATTTATCTCTGCATGTAAACATCATCCAACTATGCGACGTTTAACATTTCAGTATTATTGAGGAATTTACATTAAATAAATTCCCGAATCTGTTTTCAAGAAGACAATTGCAGCGAAGAAAATTTTCTTTTCGACGAAGTCATCATCTTGGCTGTACATTCGTGTATTTATATCAAATGGATAGGAAAGTTCCAGAATAATATCCGGTCAAGGGTCAAATTAGTAAAAATTAAAATTAGGAATTAGAATGCCATAATAAACAGGTGGATGGATAAAACAAACAAAGTAGCATCATGATAGCTAAGAAGATTGACATTGTGCAATTAGGGGTTAGAAATGTAGAAATAAAAAAGTAGACAGGATGTTTGGATAAGAACTAATGTGATGAATAATTGTTTATGCAATCAGGGATTAAATGTGTGGAAATAGTAAAATGACAAAATAAACACGAAGTTCGGGTATGAAAATATGGTAGTGTAAACAGGGATTAAGAAAAACTTAAAATAACAAGAATAAACAGGAAGTTTAGGTAAGAAAGGCGATGGGATGGTCATTACTAAAAAATTACCTGTTTATGATGGCCATGGCAGGGACAGGGGTTGGACGTATTTCTTTTGGATACAAAGGGTGGGTTTGAGCTTTTGTATAGCTAGCGCTTCGGCTATGCCCAGATGTCTTGATTTGACTCCCTTTGATAGGTTTGATTGAATCTTGTATACTATCTTGACGGATTTTTCGAAAGGTGATGAATGTCCTGAATTGACCAGATGTTCTGTCACTGAACTGTATACACGCTTTTGGTTTCCTTTTACTAACCAGGCTGGGTAGTGTTCACGAGCGCGTTTCCAAAGAACATCGAAAGCAGCTGAAGGACAATGAAAACTTGATCATCACACGACCAGATGAAGATTCCGGAATCGTCTTGATGAACAAATCAGACTACCTAAGCAAACTCTCGGTCATACTATCTGATGATAAAAAGTTTCAGAAACAGTCTCCACAGAAAGATCCCACCGAACAGACGGAGCTCCAGCTAACAAAGATATTGAAGAAAATGAAAGGCGAATCCACTATCAGTCCAAAACTATATGAACAACTGCGCCCATCTGGTTCTACAACACCGCGCATGTATGGCTTACCTAAAGTACACAAACAAAACGTCCCACTCCGCCCAATACTAGATGTGATTGATTCCCCATATCATGCAATCGCAAAATGGCTGGTGGAAATTCTCGGGCCGGTGAAAGAAAAGCTGTCAAGACACAACCTCCGTGACACATTCGACTTTGTTGATTCAATTAAGAATGTCAATGTAACAAAAAATAAAATGGTCTCCCTGGATGTCGTGTCTCTCTTCACCAACGTTCCACTGACAGAAACCGTATGTTTCCTTTGTGATTACATTCAATCCAATAGCATTGATGTCGGTATACCGATCCATTACCTGAAAGAACTGTTACTTCGATGCACCTTCAACGTATACTTTAGTTTCAATAAGGAAATATACAGGCAAGTAGATGGAGTAGCAATGGGTTCTCCCTTACGACCCCTCCTAGCCTATTGCTTTATGGCTAGCTTAGAGAACAACGTCTTATCACCGGATATCAACGACCTCCATCTCTACAAAAGATACATCGATGATATTTTCATTATTTGTGATGAGAACTGTGATGTAGAAAAACTACTTCAAATCTTCAATAATGCCCACCCAAACATCGACTTTACACTTGAGACTGAATCCGACGGAATGTTTTACTTCCTCGACGTCCATCTGACAAGAAACGCCGACAACTCTCTGAAAAGGTCCATACACAAAAAGCCTACATGGAATGTACAATTCATCAACTTTCAAAGCTTCGTGCCCCTGAGTAGAAAGAGGAACCTGATATACGCTCTTTCCTCGAGGATTAGGAAGATATGCAGCGAGGAAGTGGTTGATGAAGAACTGCGTAATCTTCAGTGGTAGAGAGTGTATACGTATGCACCGATATAAGTGATTGCAGAATATGACATCCAAATCATTAGATCTTAGTAACCGGTTAGCCAATCCTGAGAACCTACATTACTCATAATAATAATCACAGACTACCGTGGTAGCCAACATATCTCAATTATTTAGCGATCCGCTTCTAGTTTCAACATGAATTGTCATATGGCTTTAACACATTTATAAACAGAAGACTTGTCCATCAGTAAACTAAGCATATTACCGCTCAAATATGAGAAGAAAACCAACTTATTCGGTAAATTCATTACCTGTACTAAAAGTTTGCAGTCAGTGCAAACTAGTCCTTCAATATAAAGTTGGAAAAAACATACCTGAATTTAGCGTTTTGATTTCAAATGAATTTCACCAGCACGTCCGCTAAACAAGGTCAGATGCACTGAGTATTCTAAATTAACAATCTTATCACCCAGAAAAATACAGGGTCCGCAG